TATCTTGCATCTACCTACCACTTCAGCACTTTATTAATAATAATAATAATAATAATAAGGGAGAAATGTGGGATTCACATATAAATCAAGTATAAAAATCAAACGAATAATCATATTTGACCTGATTGTTTATAGTTCATGATGCGTGATCAAAACCGAAAGTTTCTGTGATATGACTGCCCTTGCACTGTTCACCATGTAAGAACTTATTCACTATGTAGGAACTTGTTCACCATGTAAGAACTTGTTTGTTATGCTTTAGAAGATTAGAGACTGTTGAGAATTAGGCTTGGGGTTGATTAATGATTGTGCATTGAGTCCCCTATATAGAATTTTATTGTTGTTAACAACCATCTGATCAATAAATATGAGAGATGGCCTCTCAAAAAAAAAAAGCTGCTGTTATTAGCATAGGGATAGACTGTTTTATTAGAATGGAACAGAATACAAAGAACAGAAATAAGTCCCGACATACATAGAAATTTGATTGCAGATTATTGGAGAAAAATAAATTCTTCAGTAAATGGGCTGGGACAGTTGGTATCTATTAAAACAAAATTTCTAACTCACTTTACACAAAAGTATAAATCCCTTACTGCTCTATGAAAACAAAAATCTTTAAAATTTTTAAGAATAAATTATAGGAAAGTAATTATTGATATCAGGAGCAGTGGAAAATTTATTTAAAAATGTTTAAGAAGCTCTAATCATATAAGATAGAAAGCATGACTACATTGAAATAAAAAACGTCTGTTCATTGAAAGGCACCATAGAGAAAAAGAAAAGACAAGCCCTCAAATTGGAAAAAGCTATTTGCAACACATGCAGTCAACAACAACAAAAGCCTACCCAGAATATATTAGGAATTCTTTAGAGGAAAAAATAAAAAGTGGAGTATCTAGCTAAGAAGTGAATAAAGATGAATAACCATTTTACAGATGAGGTAATACTAATGGAGAAGAAAAAATGTTAACCCTCATAAGAAACCAGGGAACTACAAGTTAAGACCACAGTGAGATACAATTTACATGTACCAGATGGAGAAAAACTTACAGTCTGAAAATACCAAGCCAGGTGTTAGCGAGGATGTGGACAATTACTGTGAGGAGTGTAAAGTGTCCAACCGCTTTGAAAATAATCTGGCGATATCATGCACATGTGAACAATTTTACTGTGCAGCCCAGCAATCTTATTTCTAGTTATGTGCTCTGCATAAATTCTTGCTGATGATTTATGTACTTATACACGTTCTTGCACATTTTACTGAAAGAACTTCCTAGGAATGCACATAAAAGCATTGTCCATATCAGCAACACACTGAAGACCCAAATGTGGGTAAAAATACAATATGGCATATTCACATAATGGCATTATACAAAAATAAACTAGGGTTACATATAAAGAAAATGGGCAAATCTTTGAAAAAAGCAAGCTTTTGAAGACAATGCACAGTGTTATAACAGTCTTATGATGTTTATTCATATGTAAAACTAAATAATATGTTATTTATTGATATATCTCTGTAATAAAACTATTTAGAAAGCAAGAGAACAGTAAATTGAAAAATCTTAAACAGTAGAAGGAATACTCACGCAGCTATAAGGGTAGCTGTAATATTGTCATGTTTGCTTCATAATCTACATATTTGTCCCTTATTATTTTGTATGTATCAAATATTGCATGTTCCATGAAAATGATGTAATAGAATATCATGAAGAGTCTAATAGAAATTGCTGCCTCTAGGATTACATTTCTGCTGGGAAGTACGTGGTGATTGAGGGCAGACTGGAGGCCGACCCTGTAGCTTTTCACCTGACTTTCCCACTTACTAGTTGCATAACCTTGTATGAGTCACTGACATATGCTGTGCCTCAGTTATCACATCTGTAAAAGGGGAATGATAAATGACCCTGTTTATTTATTGGGGTTGTATGCATGTATGTGTATAAAACACTTGGTAGAATGCTGGTATGCATCTACTCTCACTTCATTACCTGGGGGCCGGATACACAACCTCTCTTAGTCTCAGTTTGCTTATTTGCACAATGGAATAATAGGATTACTGTGAAATACGTAGACATAAAGAAGTTACACTATGCAAAGTATCCATTAGATATTCAGTAAATAAAATATCATTGTTAAGGAAATTTTCTTAAGTGCAGCTAGAGATGGCATGTACTAGATTTTCCCCAACATCACTATGGGATTCTGCTTGAACACTTACTGTATCTTTTTAAATATTTTATGAAATAACATTTTGTGCTTACAATCAAAATTTAGAAAATGTGAAAAAGTCTATAATCCCACCCATTTGGAAATAAGAACTCTTCTCAGTTTGATACAGTGTCTTCTAGCCCTTTCCCTATACTTTAAAAAATGAAATCAGGATCACACAATTAAGTAAATTATATGGAAGAGCAGACAGTGAAAGAAAGGAATCCCAGAATGTCCACATGTTCAAGAAGGCGGTGATTCTGGTCCCCTGTAGAGGCACCCATTGGCAGTTGGCTCACCTTTACTGACCTTATGCCATCTTGTCCTTTCCTGTAACCAGGAGGTAATTGAACACCAGGTGCTGGCCAGGTGGTGACACAGGGGCCTGGAATGTTCCACCTGCGGACAGTTTTTTTTTTCCCCCAAGAGTTCTCCTTTCTCTTTATGTTTTGGGGGAAACAAAATCATTTGTATCTGCTTCATGGAAACAAAAGGGTTATTTATTTTTTTTGAAAAAATGTATGCTTAATTTTATAGACCTTCAGGAACCGCCATTTGGGTTCCCAGTAGCTTTAGGAAGCTATCAAGTTTAAGGCAAGCTACAGCTCATCTCATTTTAGCTTCCCTTTTGCAGCTGAACTACAGAAGTCAGAGCCCAAGCTACCTTTCTGCCTTTCTGCATGTGGTATAGCATTTGTCAATATTAAATTTAATTTGTGCTAAGAGCAGCTTGCTAACAGGAAGAACACAAAGCTTGCTGAACTTCACTTTGTCTGTGTGTTCAGTACAACCCACATTAGCAAATCTAATGAATTCAGCAACATTAACCAACTCAAATCTAGGTCAGCTCTGTTGATTAAAAATGTTACAGGTTTAAGGACCGGCCCTATAAAAACCCACTTAAAATTTAACTATTTCATCATCTATTCTGTCTCCTGTACGTGAATGAAAGAATGTATACCAATTACCAATCCAATAGGCCAACATTAAGAGGTCATTATCAACAACAGACATTTATTGAGCGCCTATTGTGTGCAAGGCACTGTTCTAGGCATGGGGCTACAAAGACAAAGGAGAAAAAGTCCCTGCTATCAAAGAGCTTACAATCTAATTAGACTAACAGGACACCTACATAAAAAAAACAAAGGACGATCGAAGGTAGCATATAATATTAGGGCACTGAGTAGAAGCAAACAGGATTGCAGCCTTTTTTTGCATTTCTATGTCAGCTCAATACCCTGAGTAGGTGGGGACCAGTGAGCTTGAAGAGAAGGGTTACTCCTGTTCATTTTAAGCCTTAGAGACACACATTTACCTCTTTCCACTCCACAGTATTTTCTGGCATGTGCTAGAACCTAGGCCATTGGTTCCCCCTCCTTGTTCCCAAAGGCCTTAGTATTATAATTCTCTTTGAAGTGGCCTTTTGATAGGGTATCCCACTGTCCCAATTTTCTGGCTATTGTCCTGGTTTTAGCACTGAAATTTCGTGTCTTGGAACTCCACCCCTGCACCCAGCCCTGGGGACACAAGGATGGTACTTCTGAAGCGCCTTGTCCTGTAGCTAGATGTAGTCCTCCACCTACTGTGGTCATTGCTCTGGCAGGACCTACCCCAAATATGTTCCCCAGGTAGGTTTCTAGTTCAAAAACTTACAAGGAAGACTGCTGGTTTAAGAGCACACTGTACACAGAGAAAGACAATAAGGAGAGAATACAGCAAAAAGATGGAATGAGGTTCAAGAGAGAAGCAGTGAGGATGGAGGCAATGATTGGATCAGGTATGAGATATGTAGGAGTGTTACCATCACTTCCTAATACTTTAGAGAGAGAGAATGGGAGTGCAGACACTTCTCTCAGAGCTGGTCTCTTTAACAATCTGAATCACCCCAGTGGAATCCAGGGTATATTTCTGAAATGAGGTCACTCCTATATAAGGAAATATCAGCAACACACTGAAGACCCAAATGTGGGTAAAAATACAATATGGCATATTCACATAATGGCATTATACAAAAATAAACTAGGGTTACATATAAAGAAAATGGGCAAATCTTTGAAAAAAGCAAGCTTTTGAAGACAATGCACAGTGTTATAACAGTCTTATGATGTTTATTCATATGTAAAACTAAATAATATGTTATTTATTGATATATCTCTGTAATAAAACTATTTAGAAAGCAAGAGAACAGTAAATTGAAAAATCTTAAACAGTAGAAGGAATACTCACGCAGCTATAAGGGTAGCTGTAATATTGTCATGTTTGCTTCATAATCTACATATTTGTCCCTTATTATTTTGTATGTATCAAATATTGCATGTTCCATGAAAATGATGTAATAGAATATCATGAAGAGTCTAATAGAAATTGCTGCCTCTAGGATTACATTTCTGCTGGGAAGTACGTGGTGATTGAGGGCAGACTGGAGGCCGACCCTGTAGCTTTTCACCTGACTTTCCCACTTACTAGTTGCATAACCTTGTATGAGTCACTGACATATGCTGTGCCTCAGTTATCACATCTGTAAAAGGGGAATGATAAATGACCCTGTTTATTTATTGGGGTTGTATGCATGTATGTGTATAAAACACTTGGTAGAATGCTGGTATGCATCTACTCTCACTTCATTACCTGGGGGCCGGATACACAACCTCTCTTAGTCTCAGTTTGCTTATTTGCACAATGGAATAATAGGATTACTGTGAAATACGTAGACATAAAGAAGTTACACTATGCAAAGTATCCATTAGATATTCAGTAAATAAAATATCATTGTTAAGGAAATTTTCTTAAGTGCAGCTAGAGATGGCATGTACTAGATTTTCCCCAACATCACTATGGGATTCTGCTTGAACACTTACTGTATCTTTTTAAATATTTTATGAAATAACATTTTGTGCTTACAATCAAAATTTAGAAAATGTGAAAAAGTCTATAATCCCACCCATTTGGAAATAAGAACTCTTCTCAGTTTGATACAGTGTCTTCTAGCCCTTTCCCTATACTTTAAAAAATGAAATCAGGATCACACAATTAAGTAAATTATATGGAAGAGCAGACAGTGAAAGAAAGGAATCCCAGAATGTCCACATGTTCAAGAAGGCGGTGATTCTGGTCCCCTGTAGAGGCACCCATTGGCAGTTGGCTCACCTTTACTGACCTTATGCCATCTTGTCCTTTCCTGTAACCAGGAGGTAATTGAACACCAGGTGCTGGCCAGGTGGTGACACAGGGGCCTGGAATGTTCCACCTGCGGACAGTTTTTTTTTTCCCCCAAGAGTTCTCCTTTCTCTTTATGTTTTGGGGGAAACAAAATCATTTGTATCTGCTTCATGGAAACAAAAGGGTTATTTATTTTTTTTGAAAAAATGTATGCTTAATTTTATAGACCTTCAGGAACCGCCATTTGGGTTCCCAGTAGCTTTAGGAAGCTATCAAGTTTAAGGCAAGCTACAGCTCATCTCATTTTAGCTTCCCTTTTGCAGCTGAACTACAGAAGTCAGAGCCCAAGCTACCTTTCTGCCTTTCTGCATGTGGTATAGCATTTGTCAATATTAAATTTAATTTGTGCTAAGAGCAGCTTGCTAACAGGAAGAACACAAAGCTTGCTGAACTTCACTTTGTCTGTGTGTTCAGTACAACCCACATTAGCAAATCTAATGAATTCAGCAACATTAACCAACTCAAATCTAGGTCAGCTCTGTTGATTAAAAATGTTACAGGTTTAAGGACCGGCCCTATAAAAACCCACTTAAAATTTAACTATTTCATCATCTATTCTGTCTCCTGTACGTGAATGAAAGAATGTATACCAATTACCAATCCAATAGGCCAACATTAAGAGGTCATTATCAACAACAGACATTTATTGAGCGCCTATTGTGTGCAAGGCACTGTTCTAGGCATGGGGCTACAAAGACAAAGGAGAAAAAGTCCCTGCTATCAAAGAGCTTACAATCTAATTAGACTAACAGGACACCTACATAAAAAAAACAAAGGACGATCGAAGGTAGCATATAATATTAGGGCACTGAGTAGAAGCAAACAGGATTGCAGCCTTTTTTTGCATTTCTATGTCAGCTCAATACCCTGAGTAGGTGGGGACCAGTGAGCTTGAAGAGAAGGGTTACTCCTGTTCATTTTAAGCCTTAGAGACACACATTTACCTCTTTCCACTCCACAGTATTTTCTGGCATGTGCTAGAACCTAGGCCATTGGTTCCCCCTCCTTGTTCCCAAAGGCCTTAGTATTATAATTCTCTTTGAAGTGGCCTTTTGATAGGGTATCCCACTGTCCCAATTTTCTGGCTATTGTCCTGGTTTTAGCACTGAAATTTCGTGTCTTGGAACTCCACCCCTGCACCCAGCCCTGGGGACACAAGGATGGTACTTCTGAAGCGCCTTGTCCTGTAGCTAGATGTAGTCCTCCACCTACTGTGGTCATTGCTCTGGCAGGACCTACCCCAAATATGTTCCCCAGGTAGGTTTCTAGTTCAAAAACTTACAAGGAAGACTGCTGGTTTAAGAGCACACTGTACACAGAGAAAGACAATAAGGAGAGAATACAGCAAAAAGATGGAATGAGGTTCAAGAGAGAAGCAGTGAGGATGGAGGCAATGATTGGATCAGGTATGAGATATGTAGGAGTGTTACCATCACTTCCTAATACTTTAGAGAGAGAGAATGGGAGTGCAGACACTTCTCTCAGAGCTGGTCTCTTTAACAATCTGAATCACCCCAGTGGAATCCAGGGTATATTTCTGAAATGAGGTCACTCCTATATAAGGACAAATATTTACGTGGGTATTAAATAGGTACATGTGTGTGCAAATAACACTGCCTTAATCCTAACAGAATTTCAGTTTGTTCCTCCTACTTTTGTCTAGCATTCATTTTGCCGGAATCAACAATTTTAATTTTTGAAGGGAGTTTTTATTTCAAAATGAGGTTATATACTTTCATTTTAATGTAATTAAAATAGGCCGTAATAGAATGTCAGAAAACAGAGGTTATCTGTCTTCACTGGTGTTGTGTGGAATCCAAGCCACCTACCTACCTGGTAGTAACCAAAGGATTCCAAGTGAGTACCCACAACTTACTCTTTTAGGTATCATACCAGGTGTTTTGCTTTCACTTATTTTTTGAAAACACAGCTCACATTCTGAAATCTTAGGACCTTGAAAGTTCCTGAAATGCTCTGGTTTTTATGTCCAGCCCTTAGGAGCACATACCAGGGTTAGTGAAGCACAGGGATTAGTTACTCAACACCCATTAACTGTAATGGAAATCACACAGCAAAGTCCCCACGCAGCACACTGAATATTTACCTCCTAATGTTCTTTTAATGTCCGCTATCTTGTGTGAATATTTACCATAGAATATTAAATGTAAGATTCCTTTTTTTATGGGCCATTTGAAGTGATTGATTTTGTTTGTGAATTCCTGTGTCTTGCCCATAATGGCTATCTACTGGAATGGCCTCTGCCAAATGTTCTGTCGTTGAAATAACAGATGCCATAGATCGGCCAGCTGTGGCTTTGTATTACTGTGGCATTACAAGCGAGGAGGAAGCTGATGACACAGCTGGGGACAGAAGAAAAAGGTATGTAATGTAACCAGTATGAGTCAGGCTTGGATACTGAAATCACTGAGGGCTGTAAACATGGTTTTATAGGCATCTTTTCTATCAGAGTTGATGTGTAATGGTGTTGAATGGCATTAAGACTGATCATACTGAGATGATAGTGGCAAGATAAGAATTCAATTGCCTAAAACCAGGTCCATCAGCACGATCTGTCAGAATTCTCGGCTTTTTCTTTAAATGCCGTACTGAAGCTACTGCCCAAGCAATAATTTCTTACACTTATTTACACCATATTTTTTAAAATATAAATTCACATACTTACATATCCTAGCTATACATAGATTTAAAATATTTTTCAGTGAAGCCAGGAATTTCAGAATTAGGTTGCTTTTCACTCCTTTAAATATTTGAGAGAAAGAAGTTATGAAAAAGATGGAGCTATCATAAAACAAAACAAAACTCCAAAATCAGATTCTACAACCTAAACACAGACATTTGACATATTATTAGATTAGGTAATATCACTTCATCTTTGCATGTCCTAAGTGGGCCTTTCTAAATTTCCATAAAAATAAAACTTGTGAAAGGAGCTATGTACATTAAGAAACAAAATCTCTTCAAATGATGGTAAAGGCAGCTAATAAATCCATTATACAAAATTCATACTTTTCATAACTCAGAAAGTGTGGTGTGTTCAGAGTCCATGCTGCAGAAGAGATTGTGCTGGAATAAAACTCTATATAGTCTCTTTAAAAATTATGAGAAAATGTAAAGAACACATACATCTCGGCTGCCCTGGCTTTCAACAGCTCAAGCCACTACAATACCAACTTTGTTTCTGCTATACAGATACCTGGTCTATGTTTATATCTCAACACCAGTACTCCATATAATTAATACTGCGCTGGTTAGCACAAGGGAATGGAACCTTAGTACTAATTAAGGAATGGGAAAAGAAAAGGTGATGTGAGAAACCTTCTTTAATCACAAGTCACATCATGTTCTGTAAAATGTCAGTCTCCATATGATATTTGCTGGTGCCTTCACATTTAGCATTGGAGAAACTAATGCCTCCTAAGACATATGTAAGGAAACACATGTGTATTTTTTAAAGACTATTTTTTGAACACTATTACTTGCTTAAATGAAAAATCTTCATGCTAACTGATATTGGCTCTGAACAAAGTTAAGTCCTTCTCCAGACCAGGGAATGGCAGTGAAGGTAATGTAAGATTTGCAGTGAGTGAAACTGAGGAGTTCATAGGATAAAGGGGTCACATGATAGGGAATCTCTGTGCATTCTATTTCCTAGACCCACAGAAGGGTAGTTCCTAGCTCTTGTAGCCTGTGAACACCATGGAAGTTTTCCATTTTTTCATTTTTTTTTTTTGGTGCAAGAAGCACCAGAAAAGCAGGTGGTAGATTTTAGCCAATGGGGACCAAGGAGGAAATATGTTCTTAACTACAGAGGGAGATAGTGAGGGAATATTAAGAGGACCCCTAAAATAAAGCTCCTGCTACTGTGGAAGCCCCATCATTCCAAGCCCAAAGTCCTCAAATGGGTCAATGAGAGGTTCATAGAATTATAGACTTGGGATTAAATTTACAGTCATCTGGAACAGTTACATCACTCTGCCAAAGAGGGAACTAGAGCTTAAGTGAAATAACCTACATCAATTATTACTAATGAAAACTATCTTTAAGTTTCTCTTGTTGGTTTCTTTTTGTTTAATGGCACAGTTTTTGGTTTTCAATTGTCATTTGGAGTCTTTCTGCATGTTGGAAATTGTCATAGCTATTCTTGAAGCCTAAGGGTTCAAAAATGAAAGATAACATTTCCAAGCCAAATACCCAACTATATGCTAACAATGAGCATTGTGAATGCAGTAACTTACCGACCCAATCTTAGGCCTTCCCAGCCATCATTCTGGATTAAAGAGTTCAGAAGGATAACCTGCCACATAATAATAATCTATAAAAATATTGAGCTAGAATACACTAAAAAACTCTCAATAAATAAATATCAGGCATTTGCTGTATGAAAGCCAGTGGAGAGATGTGCTCTTCATGAATCAAGTCCATACTTTTAGGCTGCTTTTTACAAATCACAGGTACAGAGTCCAACAGATGATAAGGTTACAGATCAGGTTAGGATACAATGTGATACAAAAATGTCTTTTGATGTGGTATTTCTATAAAGGAATATAACTAATATTGTTGAGTTGCTCATGTTTCAGTTCAAAGGCAATACTTAAAGAGATCCAAGATGTTCTTAGCTGCGGCGACAACACTGAAATGAGTGTCCAGCCCCTAACTTAGACCCTTCTGAAAGGGATGACGCTTGCTTGGATGTTAATTCTGGAATTTTCCCTCACACACCAACTGCACTGCTTTGTGGTCACCTTCATGGGGAGCTGCACATGGTACTTCCGGAGGAGTGAAGCTATTTTGTGCTACCAGTTCTGCTGGGGAGCTGCACATGGTACTTCCGGAGGAGTGAAGCTATTTTGTGCTACCAGTTCTGCTCCTCTTTCATATCTGGTGGTTCAAGAGGGTCAGTGCCCTGGTGTCTGAGACAGTAGGTCCTTAGGATTTCGGTCTGGCACACTCATTCCTCAGAACACAGGTTTATTCTCAGGATGATTTACAGCAGGTGATTCTGGTTTCCAGTCTGGCTGAAGAAAGTGAATACTGAATGTCCGTGCCCAGTTCTTAAAGACTCGTTTCTCTGTGATAAAGCGGTGATGACTACCCTTCCGTCCTCGCTCATGGGACAGGTACATTGTACATTCATCAAGTCCAAATGGTTCGTAATAATGATAAGGTACTGAAGGGTGATTAGGATCCCTGTAGGAGGAAAACAAGGCAACTAATTAAAGCCAACAACCAAAAAATTCCTTTGATTGATTGAGGTAAGATGTTACCTTTAATAAGGTGATGAGCACAAATCATATTTTCAAATTAAGTGAATTTCAGCAAATGTTTTTTCTGATATTTAAGCAATACATAAGCAGAGAGGTTTTGAGGTTGTGAAATAAATGCAGTGACCATCATTACGGGGATTAAAAGTGTGCTGTAGGGCATTCAGGCTTTTGGGATGTAGATACTACATTTGACTAAGACCCAACTATCATTCTTATTGCCACTCTTGCCCCATACAGTTTATTTAGCATAAGCAGCATAAAGATATGACAAAACAAAATCAGATCATTGTCGTTTGCTATCCCAGCCCACAAATCCTCCAGGGGCTTCCAATTATACTGAGGACATGACTTACAGGGTGTCACATGATCTGGTTCCTCTCCAGCCCCTTCTCCTAACGCGCCTGGCCTTGTCTGCTCTGCCCCAGCTTCACTGGCCTTCTGGCTGGCGCCTGCACCTGCTCAACCAGGCCGTGGGGCTTTCGGCGGGCAGTCCTCACACCAACTGACACGTCTCACCCCTGAGGACTGACTTAAATGTGTCCTCGTCAAAGAGGCTTTACCTGACGCCTGCCCCTTCACTCCCTCTCACTCTAATTTGCTTTCTCCATGGCGATAGTCATTCTCTGAAACAGCTGCTGTTTGTTGCTTATTGTCTGTTCATGAGCTCAGGCCTTTGTCTTGCTCCTAGCCAGTGCTCAATTCATAATTTTTGAATTTCTGTTGTTGAAAGAAACGTATATGGAGTTAGTAGATAAACAGCAAGCCTCTAAAGACAATTTCTCCTTTGATTATGGAAAGTTGACGATCCTAATTCTATAGAAGAAAGACAGCAGGCACAATGCCATTTTTTTCTTGTTGCTTTATAGACAATGTACTCAGGTGTAACCTCTCTAAAGCTAAATCCTCGATCCCTGCTGGTTAGCCTGAGTCTCAACATTGTTCTGTCTTCATATCCCATCTCATCTCAAATGACAAATACTGGCTCATTTCTTGGTAGGGTGCACAGGATTAATATTTGGAGGTGGGTGAGTGCCCTGTGGTAGGGTTACTAAAATACCTAATCCCCAAAGGGCCCCAGTCTCAGATTGGTTTCCATTCTAGCCAGTCCACCCCACCTCTCCAATCCTTAAGTCTAGACGATAAGGTTAGTCATGATATCCCAGCAGATAAACCTTCCTACCTTGAACTCCACTCACCAGCTGGCCTTGTTGCACAGACTAAGCTCTTCTTAGTGCTTCTCTGAAAAGGTCCAGGCTTCCTGCAAACCACCATTCAGTACCTGATGCCCTGGGGTCCCTGCTCTGGTCACTCAGGCTCTACTCTAACTTGATGTCCCAGAGATGCTCACCCTGCTAGACACCTCTTCGTTGTCTTCAGAGGAGATCAATACACAAATGGCTTTTAGAGTAGCGATTTTACTGGGGTCAGGGATCGAAGTCTTTTATCAAGAGGGTGTCAAGTTTGTGGCTCTGACAATAAACCTTTGAGCTGCCTCTCCTCTGAGGTTAAAGTTCTTCCAGGAAGAGAGATTTATTTTTGTCATGCAGCATTTAAACATTCCTCATCCTGGGCTGGCTGCTGTGCTGAATTAACACTTTGCATCTCTATTATGCCTGTCTTGGAAGTATCTCTATATTCCACAGTGAAATATCAGATCCTGTCCTGTCTATTTTAACACAGATTTCATTTATTTACATATCCTAGGAATTGGAACCCTCTTAAAAATTTAATAGGAGGTGTTTCAATACAGAAAATGCATGTTAAGAAAAATTTCAGTTGGAACTCACCACTATAAAAAAAAAGAAAAACACCAGAAAGAAACAGAATCATGTGAGACAAATTGCCCCAGATTCATGTGGCATCATCTGGGGAACTATGCTAAATTCATGCTGCTATGGCATACTCAGGGTTCAGTTTTTATCCCAGTACTGATTAGGTTATACACCTGACTCACCTATGTTAGTGGCGTCAGTCTGACTAACGAAACAATTAGGTTTCTTAAAATATCATGAGATTGATTTGGCACCTAGGAATAGAGGGAAATTGGAAACCAGCTAAAGGATGCTGTGGGATCAATTTCCTTATTCAGGAAGACCACCTCTTTCAGTGAAAACGTATCTGGCTCCACATTGATCACCTAAAGGAGAATTACATTTACGTATTTGTTATTATGATTTTTTCAAAGGTGTTCAAATCCATAGGGTTTTTCTCCATGCTTTAAGACTCTATCCAAATGTCAGAAAATTGGGACTTAAAAGGCAGAGTTGACGCAACTGCCGGAACTTGCTCCCAGATGCAGGCTGACCATCAGCTGTGATCACCGTACCCTGCAGAAAGCCCTCCCCAGTTTAAGGTCATGATTTCTTAGGTCTTTCTCAAATCTGGCTTTCTAAAGGCTGCCATAGCTTTTCCTTTTTCCACCTGAGCCAAATGGAAACAGCAATAAATATCAGCAGGATTTCCCCATCAAGAGGCTGCTGTTGTAAAAGGGAGGATCTGGCACCCAGGTTCCCATTTTGGGCCAGGAAGCTAAGTGTGGAGGTGCAGTTGGGGGGTATGATAATCACAGAGCCAGTTCCCCAAGTGGCTGCAGCCTGTTATCAGCACTCCAGGGCAGGAACCAATCCTGCAGAATATCCTGATGGATTTTTCTTTCTTTATAGAGGAAGCATGAGGGGGAGAGTGAAAGAACTAACATTTAGGGCATATGGGGAGCTTTAAAGAAATATCATTGTCTGTTCCACCTCCACAGATTCTGGTTTAATTGATTTGGAGAGGGTCCCAGGCATGGCTTTTTAAAAAAATGCCTTAGGTTTGAGTGTCAAAATAAATAATAGAAGTATTGGATTATAGAAGCCATAAAATAAAATGAATGTCCATGATGATTTCAATAAATAACTGAATACATAAATAAACGAGGGAAAGAAATAGCATTTTCTTACAGAAGAACACCAATTAATAAATCCAGAAAGAATGAGGGAATAGAAAATCACCATTAGAACAGCAAAATAATTGTTGCAGGCAAGATGCACAATGAATGGAACGTTAGTGGGGGAAAAGGCAAGGAGAAAGAGGTTATTTTCTCCAGCAAGATATTTATTAATGACAAAAGGGAAAAATAGTAACTTTACAATGAGTAAACCCAGTGGACACCACCTTAACCAAGTGATCAAGGTTAACTTTGCCAGTAATAAGACATTTTGACATCATGTCCTGTTGATAGGGGATGCTGAGAAGGGCTTAGTGCTTCTGTAATGCAGAGACTCAATTTAATCATGAGAAAATATCACACAAACCCCATATGAGAGACATCCTACAATAATGACCAGAATTTTTCAAAAGTGTTCAAAGTACAAACGATAAGGAAAGACTGAGGAAATGCCACAGATTGAAGGGGACTAAAGAGGACATGATAAGTAAATGTAAAGGGACCCTGGATTGGGTCCCAGAGAAGATAAAGGAAAACTGGTGAAACGTGAATAAGGTCTGCAGCTCAGTACTGTACCAGTGTTAACTTCTTAGTTTTGATACTTGGATCATAATTATGCACAATGTTAACATGAGGCGAAGCTAGGTGAAGGGTATACAGGAATTCTCTGTACTATTTTTGTAACTTTTTCTGTAAGTCTAAAGCTTTTTCAAACAAAATTAAAAATATATATAATATTAGAAAGCTCCTTGGGAGATTCTAATGTGCAGGCAGATTTGAGAAGGCTGATTTATTAAGTACCTGCTAAGCCTCAGTACTTAACTTTTATTATCTCCTTTGCTTTCCATCTGGCATCTAAGGTAAGTATCACTGCTCTGTTTGGTAGGTGAGCAGCCAGCACCTAGTTGGAGAGTCCAGTACCTGATTTAAGCACATAGCCTCATCCATGGACCATCCAACTTGCTCAATTTGACCCTGTCAGCCCAAAACACTGTGCTCAACACTCCACACAGACTAACTTATTTAATCCTTACCATGCCTCAATGAGAGAGGTACTGCTATTACCCCTATATTACAAGTGAGAAAACTCATGCATAAAGAAACTGCAGATGTTTCAGACATCAGATCTGCACCAAAGCTGTACTCTTATGAGTGAGACTCTGTGTCTTAGAAAAACTACTGTTCTTGTGTAAATATTCACACAAGATAGCGGGCATTAAAAGAACATTAGGAGGTAAATATTCAGTGTGCTGCGTGGGGACTTTGCTGTGTGATTTCCATTGCAGTTAATGGGTGTTGGGTAACTAATCCCTGTGCTTCTCTATTAACGGCACCCAGGTTCTCACTGGGGCTGGGAGGTTGTCTTCACTGCATTCCCCCCCTACACCCATCTATGGAGGCGCCCGGTGCTTGGTGGACACTCTATGCAGTTGGTCAGGATTCAAAACAAAGGCCTTATGCTCCTTTACAATATTAATGGCAGCAGCAGTTTTCAGTGTCCCATTTTTGAATCTTCTAAAGATAAATTGTACAGTTAGAAGGAAATCTCATAACATATACAAGCAAGGGGGGATACTTCCACATCTGGGTACAACCTAGGTTGACCCTGATCTCTGGGTTCAGGCTGGACTCTCTGTAAGGCTGCAAATGTCCCAAGGAATGATTGGTGCCTTTGCCTCTCTCTGGAGTTCTCAGACCCTCTCTCTAAACACACTTCTATTCAATGAATGACTCCTAGAATGATGTGTGGCATGGTGCCTGGCATGTAGTAGGTAGTTTGATTCAGAAAATGTTTGAGGAATAGAGTGGAATCAATGGCTGTCAAGTGTCAGGGTTGTTCTGAATTTGACTTGCACTGGCGGCCTTTGGGGACACTATGTAGCATTCAGAAGAAAATGTTCCTATAATAAGCCTCCCTACACATCTGACTCAGGTCTATGAAACCTACTAAGACATCTTTATTCTGCTGCCTCAATTTCTTGTCTTTATAGCCT